GGTCTGCGTTGGATTAATGATCACATTTCACCAAAAAAATGTCAATATTTAAAAAGACGAACGGCCGATAAGGCCCCAAAACAGGTGTTTTGGGGTCATTTTTGAGGGGTGTTTGTAAAGAGAACGATTTAGACGGCAAATCTTCGAGAAATATGGAGTAAACTCAGCATGGTTGTATGCAGAAAAGTGTAAGCAATAAAACTTGTCCAGTATAAAAATACACTTTTCTCAAAGATAATGCCTCTAAAACTTGCTTAAAGTCGAACGTCATTTTAGAACGACACCATGCCTTCCGGGTCACTCGATCATCGAAAATCAAAGAATGATAACTAATAGACTTTTTTGGTTCCTGATGCTTTAATGATAAGTTCTGAGGCAATATCGAGTGTCCTAGTTCTGAATATAGAGTTTCTTTGCACTCATTTCAATGTTTCAACCTTCGGAACAAAAAGCGCACCTTTTGTGCAAGTCGTCATTTTTGAGCGCAATTTTTCCTATGATGCATTCGTCATACGGTCTTCCGAGTACACGAACTTCTAGTAAGTGTCCCTGAGATACTTTTGAGCGTGCATATGTTACTTTAGGGCACAGTTTCTGTGAGTGGAGGCCGGGCCAAAACACCACTTTGAACGACCATTGTCGTTTTAAAACAACACATGTCGTTTTAAAACGACAACGGTATCGTTCAAAGTGTCGCTGTTGCACGGCTTTCACTCACAGGCAAGCGCAACGAAAATCGAAATTCGTCACTTTTAGGACGGTATTGGATCCACTGAGTGGTTCGGAGAGGTCCGCCGATTGGCTTAAATCTTCGGCAGGCAACTTCGTTTGGCGGAAGGGCGGGCCTGCTTGTTGATCTTCGATGATGTCGAGTGACCCCTAAAGCATGAAGTCGTTTCAAAACGACGTTCGACTTTTTTTTCTCTGTCAGAGCTGCCAGGTGCACCGAAACAAAGATTTAGACATCGGATCACGTTCAGCGATCTTATTTTCTTAAGTTTAAGTCAAGTTGACGTCAATTTTTATCCGTACCTCGTCGGTAGCTGACAGCCCAGATCTAGCAAACCTTGCCAGTCAATAACCTTAGCCTTGGGTTCCGACGTTGGTTTTAGTGGGGTTTTCCTAACGTCCTAGTCGAAGGAGGGGAACTACACTCCTTCACGCCACCTTCTACTTTCGCATCCCCTATGCGAAAGGGCTTGCGGAGAGAGGGGAGGGTACTGTTGTGAAGTGAGATTCGTTAGGAGTTATTGCAAACATTGAGCACTCTAGCAGACGACTCAGTCGTCTGTTGACACGCTGCGCTGTCCCCCAGCACACGGCACGGCCTGTGTGAGCGTTACTGCCTCCGTGGTGTTCTGCGCCCTGGCGGCGAGCTCCCGCAGCGAGCGACCCCCCTCCAACCAGCAGGGCTCTGGCGGGGCGCGGGCCGCGCGGCGCTCGGCCCGACATTTCTGTCTGGGACGAGCTACGAGTAGGACGCTCCGCTCTGAGACTCTCTACGCTACCGCGTTCCGCTTGTGCTCCACACCCGCGATACCCGCTACCACGCTTCAAAGTGCCTTGTGTCTAAAAGATTCAATAAACACTGGTGTGCTCAACTCCTGACTTTCACTTGACTTCCTCTGCAACCCCAGTGCAACCGCGACCGCGAGCCCCTGGCCCGGTTCACAACAATACATATGTAAACCAGAATTTGGATGCTTCGATCTTTTGTCTCTAAGAAAGCCTATTTCTTTTGTCTTTCAGAATTGGTACCATCGCGCTGGGTGCGTTGTTTAACCAACAGGCTAGATATGAACCGTGACACAACCGATTTTGTAGTGTAGACAATCTTTCAAAATAACTTTTTTCCAAAACCGAAAAGTACCGTGATGACACCTGTACTACGTCGGGACTGGGTAAAAAACTTGTTCGCGAATACACTGCCCATTGCTTTGTCGTGAGGATCGATTTTTCAGTGTTGAAACAGTTTCGCGACTAATTTATGTATACTGATCCGTATTAAGCTCATATGTCGCTACACCGGAGAAGCAAAGGTAGGAATAAACACCTTTCTTGGGGTGTAAAGGAAGGACCCTAGTGAAAAAAAAACGAAAATCGCAAAAACGTCGGATTAGTAAGGTTAAAAACGGTCTAGAGGCTCGTAGACCAAAAACTCGACCTGGAAGTTGTAGAACAGAGCTCTCTGATGAAAACAAGATGTGAACGAAACTTTTCCGTCAAAATTTGAGACACCTGGAACTTTTCTCGTAGAGGCCTGAGACCTACACGGAAAAAGTTCCAGGTGTCTCAAATTTTGACGGAAAAATTTCGTTCACATCTTGTTTTCATCAGAGAGCTCTATTCTACAACTTCAAGGGCGAGTTTTTGGTCTACGAGCCCCTTGACCGATTTTCACTTTATGACTTTCGTGCATTTACAGAGGCACTGAAACATTCACACCCCTGGAAAGGCACGAACATGCGGGTAGGTGGCAGCTCCCTCACCACTCAGTTCTGTTTTTAAAATGGTTTTATTTACGTGAAATTGTTACATTTGGATTTTTTTTACATGGGTTGGTGTGCTAATGCCCGTAGGCCTTACAGTATTTACTTATTATTAACGGAGGAGAGGGTATGGGGTGTAGCGTTGATGAAGGGGTGATTCGATGGTGTTATGGTTGGTTGATCCTTTGATTTATTGCCCTTTGGCTTAGCTAGGCCAGGGGGAGAAAGGACCACCACTCCCCCGCCACAAGCCCGCGCCTACAGCCAGTGCATAGGCAACCCAGCGTACTGGCATGTCTTAGCCTGGACACCCGCTCTGCACTGAAGCGCGCTGAGCTTGTGTCTAGCTGAATGACTTTTAAATACCCCAAATATTTGTCTTCCGGTTGCTAAAGAACAAAATCCCCAGACTACACTCCAAAAAACGAATTATGTCAAATTTTCTCCGATTCCGTACCCCTGTGCAACACGTGCAAAACCTGAGACAAAAATCTGGTCTGGTTGGCATAGTGATCAGTTCTGCCTAAAGTCCCAGCCACTTTGCCACCCACACCACCAAGAGCAGTTTTCCAATCGGTGTCAAAGAACTGCCTGCCGATACTTCTACATACGGTATCTTGCCAGTTGTAGCCAGGTCAATGAAGAACTGAGCTGAATCCTTTAAAGTTCGGTTAAGAGATCCAGTCTGGTAGTCGACGTGGATAAGCCCAAACGGACGCCTGGAAGACACAAATCATCCGTCACTTTTACTGTTGATTCATTTTACCTTGACAGTTTCTAAAATTTTGAGAAGCAGGCTTAATTTTTCAAAAGGTAGTATTTATAGAAAGAAATTTTAAGAAATTTCTTAAGATAATTCGACGTTTTTTTAAACAGAAAACAGAGGATAATTTTGATAATTTGAAGTGAGCTTTTCTTTCAACAGAAAATGGAAGATATGCCGTTAGCTGTTTGTGCTGTAGTTTGTAGAATGGAGGCCCATGCAATTTTTTTAAAAAATGTGCCATTTCGCATACGACTTTTCAATAATACGTATGCGAGTTTCTTCAGTAAGAGGAGTGGTTCTCCCACATTAACTTGACAAAGTCAGCCGCTCTTTTTCAAATACTACAAAATGACGACTTATCGGGATATAAGTCCAGTACCCATAGAAAGAGGAAAGCCTATTGGGGTGTACTGGATGCATTGGTTTGTATTGTTATACGAAAAATCGGAGAAATCACAATCTGAAGCCAGCAGCGCAGGTCCCGCGCGGCCGGCGGTGGCCGTCGGGCCGGGCCGAGCATCGCCTAAGCTGCTCACCCCACCCGGCCGTTGCATACCCCTGCGCGAATATAGGCCGCTGGGGCCGAGCTGGCCCCGTTTTGCAGATAGAACATTGTGTGTTCGACACTCTGCAGATAGGACATTGTGTATTCCGCACGCTACAGATAAGACATTGTTGTTAGGACGCGTCGAAAGGGGATTTCAGGTCCGTTTGACCCAGCGCAAAGCAGCCCGACACAGATTTTTCGGGTCTTAATTTAAATTTTAATCAGTATGACCCCAAATCACCATAAACAACCCTCATTCCACGGTCCATAGGTAAGCTCTAAATGAAGCAATGTGTCATAATTTTTTTCTAACGATGTATTTTGGCAAACATAAATTTGCGAGGGGGAAATCACTGGGTTCGTAGCGTACGGGCTATTTCGTGGTATTTCTCCTGCCATTTCGGCTATTACTCACCTATTTCGGATTATTTCGGAATATTTCGCGGTGTTTCGTTTTCGCGACTATTCCACCGACTATTTCGGGTCGATGTCGGACTTTTTCGGGGGAAGGTATACGAACTATTTCGCAAAGTGATTTCCCCCTCGTAAATTTGTGTATATTTACATAGACGTTACTAGCTAAAGGAAAATATTTGTTTTGCAGAAGAAAAACGAACTATAGCTCATTTCTACCAGGATCAAAAACTGAATCAAACAGTTTTGCTTTGGTCCACCAGAAGTCTGAGGTTGATTCTAAAATTCGAAATAAAACTGCAAATTGGAAGAAACACAAAAAAAAAATAATCTATAAGTGAACCATACTTTTCCCAGGCCAATGATGGGTTGTTAAGGTGATTAGGGCAGGCCTCTAAAACACGCAGAGGACGACGGTCCACAGTCGAGGTAGGCCACCCTGCACACACGCCGATTGGGCAACCAAATGCAGCAGAGAGCCAACGGATCCCTCTCGGTTACTTTGGCGCGAAATCCGTCTCCTGGGTCAGTGCGTGTGGTCGGCGTCTACTGGCGAAGGCGAGCGAAGATGAACAAGTGGAACGCTGGGCGGCGCTGCACCGACCATCACCATCGATAGAAGGATCATGTAAAATTTGTCAAGATTTGGGCCCGAGCGGGGCGGCGGCTACGAACGGCACAGGTGAGTCATATTCACATCAAATGTAACCCAGGGGGCCCTCTTTCGAACACCACCTGTCCGGTGTCTCTGCGCAATGTCGTTCGATCTGGCGAGAGAGTTAAAACCTCCCGGAGTAGTTAGACCATAGGGAGACCAACGTTCATATTTTTGAGGTGCGTGCAGCGCAGAAGTCTTCCTTAGCGTCCTATACATCGGCCCGAATCGTCAAAGTTATTTAGCCCCACCGGCAATACACATGAAAACAGAACGTTTTGGCTACTCGCTGGTGGATCGACCGATGCAGACCTCTGGCACGCACCTCAAAAATATGAACGTTGGTCCCCGTAGGGCCTAACTACTACGGGATTCTTTAACTCTCTCGCCAGGTCGAACGACATTGCGCAGAGACACCGGACAGGTGGTGTTCGAAAGAGGGCCCCCTGGGTTACATTTTATGTGAATATGACTCACCTGCGCCGCGCGCCGCCGTCGCTACATCCGTCCGCGCGCCGCCGCGCCGCCCCGCTCGGACCACACGCGGGCCCAAATCTTTAACGCCGATGCGCGGTGGGTTCCCGACATCGTAGAGCGCCCGGACAAAGACCAACGTAATCAGCATCGTTTTGCCTTTCAGAAAACCCACCGATGGAGTTTACGATTTTTTTTTGGCCGGGCTAGCGACGGCTTGCCTAACAAAACTGTCAAGAAGAAGTCAGGCCTGTGCCTGTATCTTAACGAAATTTTACCATCACCCGAAAAACCGGTGTCGGGCTGCTTTGCGCTCGGTCGAACGGACCTGGAACACCCTTAAGGTGTCACAAGTGACGTAATTTTATTTCAGATTATTGAAATTGAGACCTTTGTTTACCGCGGTTTCGTCCCCAGTTGGTCTTCGGACAAAGACTGAAAGGGTATTTCTGATTTCTGCTTGTTTTCCTGCAATTGCCCCAAGCTCATTGGCTGAGCGATTAGCGAAGCCTATTACTCCAGTGATGATCAAAAAGTTTCGCGTCTGTCTGTCTGTCTGTGTGTGTGTGTGTCTGTTTGTCTGTCGTCACGATAACTCGAGAACAAATTGAGCTAGCGACCTGGGATTTTCAGGGTCGTTTTGTGTCATGAAAAGACAGATCAAGTTCGAA